AATATGTTCAAAAGTATGTTTTTTGGCGTAACGCAGCCAGTTTTGTCTCGGGCGACCGACTCGTTTTTTCCCATAACAAAACTCTGATTGCACAATCGGGCTGGAAAGAAATTTGGCGCATAGGATCGTCGTGGCTAGCCCTGAGTACATGACCCAATAATTTAGATTTCCTACGGAGATACGATTTGCTGAACAATTCGAACTCACGTCGGTCGCCTCGGTTTGGATATGCCAGCGCTGTACATCTATTCAGAACCTCTCTATTTGTGTTTCTTCTGTCTATACATGTTGACGGAACCTTGAGGATTTTCCTCAAGCACCGTAGTTGGAAGGCATCAATTTTTTTCAGCATGGCGTCAGTGAGGTGTATAGTTTCAAGTCCGTATAACAATTTTGATCGAACAACCGCATCAAAAATAAGCAGTTGCCATTTCACGTTCGCATTTGTTGCCTTCCAGTACGGCAGCAATTTGAACCAGGTTTGTCTTACTTCTTGCATTTTGTTCAAGATTTCGTGTCGAATGTTTGCTTCCTTGTTAATTTCGTTGCCTAAATAAGTCGCTTCAAACTTCTTGGGTAATGGTTCATGGACCAAACCTTCATTGTTCGTTTGTAGCGCCACACACTTGTCTTTGTTTAGCCGCAGTCCGTATTTGCAGGAGATAGCTTCCGTGAGCTTTAACAATTCATTTAATGCCCTGTTGTCAGTAGAAAAGAGGATGGTATCATCTGCATAGTAAACTAAATCAAAATCCAGATTTGTGTGTACCCAACGACTGATTTTGGAGCGAATCTCATAATCTACACAAGACATCACAATAACAAACAAATAAGGGGAAAGGGGGCATCCTTGCCTGATGCCAGAAGATTGGTATTTGACCTGGGATGATCCGAAAGCATCTTTCACGAAAAATGTTGGCTTTTTATAGCAATCTTGAATGATATCACAATAATGTTGACTAAAGCCCATTTTTTGTAAAGCGACAATTAGTTTATCGTGTTGCACTTTATCGAAAGCTTTTTCCTAATCTAAAAGGGCTAGACTCAATCGGGCACCTTTTGACTCGGCGTAGTCTTGGAGCCTGCGAATCAAATAAATAGCATGGGATGTAGATCTCTGAGGCCGAAATCCGTATTGTGTATTGGATAAAGCATCATTAATAGCATTTTGCATTCTTTGACGTATCATGATCATATATACTTTGTAAAGGCTACTCAGAAGAGAGATGGGCCTATAGTTGGCAGCGTTGTCAGTATCTCCTTTATTGAAGAGGGGGACGACCCTCGCAAGAAAGAGCTCTGTAGGTGCTTCCTTACTTTGCCACCAGTTGTTAATCAACCTTAATAGGAGCTGTCGGTTGGCAGCATTCAACCATTTCAGCAATTCCATTTGGAGGTCATCTGGGCCTGGTTGTTTTTAATTTTTAGATGATTTTAATGCTGCATTTAAATCCTCTAGAGTGAAGACATTTTCGTCAGCCTCGTTATTCAATAGGATTGGCGCAGCATCCGGCATTCCAGCGTTTAAATCGTTCTTCCAGTGAGCTGACTCGAGGTAATTGGCAATGGTCTGCGCCCTCTCTATTGTAGGCACATGTTTTCCATGTTCGTTTTTCATCTGAACATATTGCGATGTAAATTTCCTCTTTAAACCTTTTCCTGCCTTCCACAGTCCTTTCTTGTGTGGGTCCTGAGGGTTCTCATTAATTGCTCAGATGATTGCGACGGTCTTTACGCGCCATTTTGTAGATTTCCTTGTTCAAGTGTCGTACCTGCTGCGAAGACGCTCCGTCCTTCCTAAGTTGGTTTCTTTCGTCAATTTTTGCCCATGTGTTTCTTGAAATATATTGTTTTTCTTGTCTTTTGGTATAGCTTCCAAATTGTTTTCAGCAGCGCGCAAGATACTTTCAACAAACTTACTAAGACACAAAGACTGCTGTGACAAAGTTTGTGCGCATTCGGCGTTAAAACAATTCCACTGAGCTAGAGTAGGCTTCAGGAATTTCTTAGACGTCTTGGGCTCTTGCGCGCGCTTGTTGGGTTTCATCTCGAATTGCGCTTCTACTACTAAATGATCCGAATCAAAAGGAATGTCTCGCCGGCTTTGGGCACCTGTGCATGCAGTTTTCCATGTCGAATTTGTCAGCCAGTAGTTGATTTGCGCATATCTTTCAGCATCGAAAGGAGGCCCAAAATCAGAAACATTCATTTTTTCTTTGTATGTTATCAACCTGTCTAATGGTTTCGAAAACTGGCTGTTCAGGATCTTGAGATGATGCATTTTGCACCAACCCAAGAAAAGTGCCCTGCTTTCTTTCGTTTGGTCGTTCATGGTGTTAAGGTATTCCATTCCTCTCCCAATGATGTACGGACCACAAACATCAGCGTCAACCTCTCGTACGTAGTGGATCCTAGCATTAAAGTCACCACCAATGAGATACCTTCCATGACAAGAAGTAATTTCTTCAGATAACTGTTCGTAAAACATTTCCTTGTCCTCTGTTGAACGGCCACTGTGTGGGGCATATGCGCGTATCATTGTAACATCAAAGCCGTGACATGAAAAGTGATGGACATAATGCGGCCATTTTTTTGGTGTACTTGCGTAATGAAATTTAACAAGGCATTCTTTACTATAATGCCTAACCCTGCGTGCTCAAAATCTGCGGCAAGTCGATGGCTGGTCTCTGGGTTTCTATGTTGCGCTCCCCTAATGGCAGCATTCTCTCGTTTTTTGCATTCCTGGCCTCGAATCTTGGGATCAACGCCTGTACTGAAAAAAACTGTATAACCATCCCAATTCTCAATACAGCTTGTATTTATGTTGGTTTCCGTTATTAGAAGAATCTCATATTCATGCGTTTTCATGAGATTAGTTAAAGATTCATTTTTCGTTGGCTGGCTCAGCCCTCTAACATTCAACGTGGCAGCTCTGATCTGCTGATTAGCTCTGAGTTTAAAGGTTTTAGAGAACTTCTTATAGTTTGGCATATCTCCTTTCAGTTCAGAAACCTTATGGGATCTAAGTGTTGCAAAGAAGGTTTTTAATTCGTTCTTGAGGTGAACTATGTTCCGTTGGAACCACCGTTTTGTTTTCTTCCTGACTTTCTGTCGAACGATTTTTGTCAAAGCCTCTCTCTTTGAAAGGCTGCATTCATGCAAAATGGCTTTGGCTACCTGCCTGGCTCGGTCCCGGAGTCGCGTCCTTTTGAAATATCTCCATGCACAACGACGCTGTGCTCGTAAAAAGTTCAAAACCTTGGCCCTTCTGCACTTGTAGTAAAAAGGGTTATTGTTTGGTGTTAAACGGTTGCGACTCCGAGTCTGTTCAGTCAGCCCAGAGGGCACTGTCCCGGGGCGCCTTCTTGAAGGCAAGTGCCTGTCATCAGTTCTTGCGTAGTTGTTCTTCCGGAGGGGTGCTCCCCAATGGCGTGTGCCAGTGTGGGGTTGTTGCCTGCGCTGTTGTTGCCTCTTGCTTTTGCCATGTGTCTGCTTGTCATAGTGTTGTTTTCTGCTGGTGATGTGTAGTCATTCTTCCATCTGGTCTTCTTTGTTTTCTTCTAGTCTGGCGGCAGCAAAAGTCACTGCGTAGGGATACTTGCTACATGTTGGGTATCTGGGATGCTCTTTGTGTACGGTTCGCCATGCATCATGCCAAAAATTGCGAATGAGGTCCACGAGGTGCTTCTCCGCAATGATTGCCACGACTCCTTGGTCTTTGTCATAGGTGGCTTTTGTAATGACCTTGTGTGCTTCCAGGTCATAGATTTGCTTGTCTGTGATTCTGTGTGAAAGCTGTGTCGTGCCTGCATAGCCAGTGTCTTGGTGTGTTGTCAGTATTTGCATTGCTGTAGTGAGGGCCATATTGATGATCAGATCTGTTTTGCCAAGGTAATTGGTAATCACCAGTTTGCCCCATCCTCCATTCCTGTGCTGAATTGTGTTGCCGTGCATGTCCCAATAGTGCAAAGGCCATTTGTTGGAGAAAGTGGTGTATGGAAACTTCTCGAACCGCTGGTGTGCCTCTAAGTCCGAGAATGTGAGAATTGTGACTGGTGAGAGTGTAAACTTCTTGGCTGCTGTATAAAATCCATGTTCTTGTTTCGCGCTGTCTTGAACTTGTGCTTTGTATAGAAGCCAGTCTGTGATTCTGACCCGGTCCGAGTAGTACGCGTTCTGCCGCCAGGATTTGATCATCTTCTTCTGTCTGCTCTCTTTCTGCTCTCTTTCCAGGACAAGCTCGTGCGTGAAGTCTTGCAGTGCTCTCAGATCGTCTATTTCATCGTCGTGGCGCTTGGCCACATCTGTGAGTTTGTCAATTTGTAGTGACATTGCTTCTTGCTGATTTCGAAGTTGATCAGAAGAGCTGGCTCCTGTTGACTGAAGTTGCTCAAGATCTTGCTTCATTTGTAGGCTCAATTGCTTCATCTGCTGAAGGAGCTCACGCGCTTCTTGTGCAACGTTGTGTTTTGATTTGCGCTCTGCTGGTCTATGTTGTTCATCTGGTCCTTTTGTCACTTGTTGTGGTGTAGCTGCAATTTCATATAGTGCCTTCGAGGTAGATGAGCTTCTTGTCCCCCAAATTCTTCTTGTGGTGATAGCCTGTTTTTCTGCAAGTTCTGTCTTCTTGCTTGCTTCTGTATCATCATCTGCTTGTTCGAAGGCTATAGCTTTTCTTTGTTGTGTCTGTGCTTGTTTCCTCTTTTCTTTCTTTCCCCTCCTCTTTGTCTCTGCCTTTTCTCTGATCTTTTTCTTCCTTCTCCTTTAAATGCGGCTTTCTTACTGCCATGGCTGACTGGCTGTTGCCTGCATGACTTTATCTAGGTTCTCTCGAGCCTGAACCCCTAAAGACTACACACTGCCAATCACTAACCACAAAATCCTACACCGCAAATCAGTATGCACAAGCCAATTTAGCACAAAACTATGTGCTAGTTTTCCGTACTTGTCGCCCACCATTCACTAGCATCAACTTGGCAGCATGTCAATGCTAAACAGGCCTGTTCATGTACTCAACGACGTCTGTGATGCCCTGGGTCATCGCAGATGCTGTTCCGGGGCCACCTTGCTCTTGTGAAATGGGCCAAGGCACAGCACAATGCCGTAAAAATGCGTGAGGAGAGCACCCAGCAAAGCTGGTCCTGCTACAGCTAGCAGCCCCCTCCGAGACATGTCTCCGTCAATGCCTCGGCTCAAATTCATAAAGATCCCGCAGAGTCATCGAAATCCCTATCTTGCAAGTCTCACAATGCACAATTGGTTTTGTGCTGTTTACTATTGTTTACTTGGCACCTCTGGCAGGAACAAAGGTCTCATTGCCTTGGCCAAGACAACCAGTTTCTGAACTTGACTTTGTTCGACCTCTTGCTATCTTTGAGAGTCGCACCATCACATGACCATCGGCAAAGCAGAACAAAGGCAACCATGCCCAAAGCGAGGCGCCTTGATCATCCACTGTGTGAAACAGACTGAAAATTCACGCCTAGCATCTTGTACCCAAGGACAATACACAAACGGCATACAAAAGAACAAACGCACAAAGCAAAGATGCCTCAGGAGGCAGTGCCTCGTGGCACCAGTTGGCTGCATGTTTGGCCTGAAAAGACTGCTGGTGTGTTTTGCAAGAGTTGTAACAGTGAACATCCAGAATAAGGGCAAGACCGGGACGGGTCCACGAGATCCCTGTATCTGGAGTCTGAGCTTCGTATTGCCGATACCAATCTCGCCGTCAAGAGATGCCACAAGCGTGAATGAAGCCTTTCCGAATGGCCTCATGTGTTTTCGCCCTGCCAAAACGCAATGAGTTCAAACAGGATGCAAAGCTTAACCTCGTATGCAAGAATGCAATGCTCCCTCAATCTAGAAAGCATCCTTCCACCTGCAGAAGAGCGAAACCTCAGCCTGTTCAAAGAAACCAGCTGAAAGAAGTATTGCTTCTTCTCTTCTTTTGTGCCCTTGACCCGTCAACACTTTAGTCAGAAGGCACTCAAGTGAGTCGAATCACTGAGGTGATACTGTGGGATCCTTCAGCACCCAGTTTTGGAAACTGGTGTCCCAAATCCAAAGACGCGGTTACGTCTTGCGAGTTTCAGCTAGGTGAGCTGTACCTGCATACTGTTCTGGAAGATCTGTGCTGTATCAACTGTCTTTTTGGATGATCTGTTTGTCTCTTTCTTTGCATCCCTGAGTCTTGGGCTTTCTAGCCACTCTGCACTATGGTTCGCATAGGGCTGGGTGTGTCGAGTCGCTGAAGAGTTTCCTTTTTGCACCACCTCCGAATTTCATGAAAGCCTGAATTTGTTGTATGAATGGTTCATTTTCGACAGTGGTGCAAAATTGTGTTGTATTTAGATACTGTATCTCAATTTCAATATATAATTTGTGAGTCTCGGACCTCGTATCTGCTTCCACTTGCTGCTCCAGCAGCATCAGCATGGAGCTGGCATGATTCACGACTGTCACCAATACAATTAAATGAGGTTGGAAGACAACTCAATCCATGCCTCAAATAGTTGCAAGCACTGTCGATCCTTCCTGATTTGGAAAGAAAACAACAGCTGTGCCCAATGATCCTTTCACTTCCACTTCGGCACCTGTCAGTGGCGTGGACCCGGTGGATGAATTGAAAGTTGGCGCCACTCTCCTGGCCACACCACATGGTTACAAGAAACTATTAGGTTGGAGGCCATCGCTACTAGGAACAACACAAGAAGCTACTAGTAGCTAAGTGTTGTATTCTTACCCTTGCCTTCCCTGCACGGCCAGCCCATAGCGAAGCCTGCTGATAAACATATCTTGCCGCATGCCGGCACGTTTGACAAAGACCACAAAAACTCACATCTTATATACGCTCTGGAAGGTGCATTTCGCAAAGAACAACCATAATGTCATTTCTGAGCTGGCAACCATCGTGGCCTGCAAGCGCCGCAACCATATGCAATTTTGCGCATGTGAAAATAGAACATCTCAGCCACGCCTGTATTCGGAGTCAAACCCACTGGAAGCAGTGCAAAGCAAAGCCAAAAGTTAATGGTATAAAACCATGCCTGGATCGAGCAAAACAAACTCATTCGAACTATGATGCCATCTTACAATTTGGTTTCAAATTCTATCAAAATTTCATAGTCAACATGTACGCACACCATTGGGCAAATGAGATTCAAAGCCTGCTTCCGGACATGTTCCTTGGACACAGTATCTGGAAACCTTGCAAAAGGACAAGAGTCAAAGTTTGCTACATCAGATGGAGGTTTTGCACTGCGCAAGTTTAGGCGCACGAGTATATGGTGACCATGTGGTGTATTCGATGACTGCTTTGTGAAACCGAGGGTGATCTTTTGAAACCGATGACAACCAACCAATGACAACGATAAACCGGTGACAACTATATAATGTATTGAAACGGATCACGATGGTGACCGATTCTAACGACGGTTATGGAACCCATCGGGGCACCTGACGAAACTGCTGGTTCAAACTGGAACGGTTGTTTGGTCGCTGAAACAGGTAGTTACTGAACGTTTGGTTGCTGCGGCGCGGGTCTTGGTTGACGTGTGGCTGCTAAAGTTCTAATCTTCGCTGCTGAAACGAGCAGTTGCTGATATGTGGTTGCCGTGTCCTAAGCCTTCTTCTTGCACTGTCACTGGACGTGGCATTGTTCATTGACTGTCTTTTGCACCCCTCTTCCACATCTGCCACTTCGTGTGGGAGAGCTGTCAACGCTTTTGTGATTTCCAGAACGTACTTTTTCAACGAAACCATTCGTTTTTAGACTTTGGACCCAATTACTGCATTCTCACGAGAAGTTGACTTTCAACAAAACGAACAACATGTCGTGACCCCAACACTCTCACCAATATCAGAGGCTGATCTCGAAATTGGACCCGCCGACACCGACGGCTGGGCTGGGTTTGGCATCAGCCTGGAGGTTGAACTTGCATTTTCATTTCAGCGTTTGGTGTCTCAAGAAAAGCTCCGGACCTTTTCTCAGCACGGGGGTGAATGCGGCTCACACCACCCCCTTCTGACTCGCATGAACTCACGAGCTCAGTCACAAAGGTTTTCAAGGTTTCAAAAGAAGCTCTGGCTTGTTCAGAACATTCGTTTTGCTTCTTCAAAAGTGGATGTTCGCAGAGGCGTGAGGGAAAATCACTGAGGTTGGCCTCAGTGGGGACCCTCGCAAACCAGGCTTTCATGTTATGCTCAACTTCTGCTGTCAAGTGAAAACGCATCAAGGCCTCCGCCCAACAACCGGTAGCAGAAGCACGCACCAATGCAAATCTCACACTGTCATTGTCTCCAAACCACGTCACAAGGTTCCCTGCTAGGCACGCAGCCCAAAAGGAGAGACTAAGCACAGCAGCTGCCAGCTCCAACTCATAGATAACCGTTTCTTTGGCTCCAGCTCCAAATGCCTCACAGTCTTGCCTGGTGAGACTGAAGCCAAACCACTTCAAACAGTTTCCGAGGTCATCCACTAAGACGGCTCCCAAGCCACCTGTACAGCTACCCTTTTCAAAAGCTGCATCTGTGTAAACAAACCACTGACTAAGGTTGTTCTCAGAGACTGTCATGGGTTGCCCTTTGTCAAGGCGTGTTTTCATGGCCAACAATGCTTGACACGTATCGCTGTCCAATTCCTTCTTCCTGGGGTATGCATGATCCAAAATCTGTTTGAGAACTAATTTCCCAAGACGCCCGTGCAAAAAACTGTCAGCAAATCCTAAGCGCCCCCTCAAGACCAATGCTTCATGCTTCGTCAAGGTGCCTCGCGTGAGGACTTCGGAGATCTTCAAAATCAGATCCTGCCTCCTCTGCTCCGTGTTGAAGATGTGAAGAAGCCTTTGTTCAGATCTGCTGAAGTCAAACTCCACTCCCAGAGCCTGGCAAGTCACAGAAAAGGTTGTTGCCTTTTTGCCTTCGCGGGCGTATTCCCATCCAAGCAGCATGAACAACACTTCCATTGCGTGACCTGCTGAAGCCTTTCCAGCCGGTCTTGAAAGGAGCACGAAATCATCATAAAAGTTTGTGTTGATCAGGTATAAAGCACGAGCCGCAATGCTATGGATCATTCTGGCCAGTCGAAGAAAGTTGTAAACAGAGTGAGTGGCCCCAAATGGCAGTGTCACCAGCTGGTAGATCTCTGGTCGGTGCAATTCGCAGTTGTAGACACTGAAGTAGGCATACTTCAGGTGATCTTGCCGGATTGCAACCTGTCTGTAGGCACTTTTCAAATCAAAGGTCTTTGCTTCCAGATTTCCAACAACACCCGCTTTCTTACTGGCAGCAAAATATTTGCGAGCCAGAGCACCCAACGTGTCGATCATATGCAGACTTATCTTTGCATGAATATTGCAACTGTCATTCACTCCAGAAATGCTGAAATCATCTATCATCCGAATCTTGTTCGACTGAGCCAAGGGGAAGCGACGTGATATCACAGCGCCATCCGGAAGGTCGCACAACTCATAGGGGCCGCGAGCCCACTGTCTCTCCAACTCCAAGCGTGTCTCCTGGAGCATCAACTTGTCTACTTCGGCATCACCGGAGGACACTGTCATGGCCAGGATGGCCTGGTTCCTCTTGGACGCACCTCCGGCGTGCGCCCTTGAGCCACGCTGTAGCCATGGTGGGAAAGATTGAAGTCCAACCACCGTATGACTGGTTCTTCGGGGACAACTTCTTTACCCAACATGGAAAGCAAACCTTGGCAGACTTGATGGACGATCCATGTTTAGCCATCGAACATTGGGCCCCCGAGTGCAAGCTCTTTAGCAGAGCCCGCGGCCGCCCCATTACTCTTCGGAATGGGCGAAGAATTCAGGGGCCGCAGCCGGTTCGGGACGGTCACCACGTCATGGGCTATCCGTGGTTAAAGAGTGATTTGAAAGCGAGAGTTCGTCGCTCTAACCAAATGGTGCTTAAGGCTTTGAAGCGAGGCAAGGAGGACAGGCGGGGGACTCGCTGCTACTGTTCGGTCAATTGTTGGCATGTCATGAGGCATGGCTTGAACTGTTCTTCAAAGATTGGACATTTGGCAATGTCACCTGCTAGGGTTGCTCCGTCTCTCAGGAGGTCAAGGGCCTCGACATCCTGGTATTGTATGCTCTCCAAGATCTCTTGAGTGAGAAGCAGCCTCTTGCTCTGTGTACTGAACTGAACATGCGAGGGTCTCGAAGACCTATCCAGCCTTTCAGCCGCATCAAGCTCCTTTGCCCTCATAAGCCATTGCTTGCACCAATCTTTCCTATATTTTGCCATCTGCTCATCATTCCAGCATAGGTTTCTCTTTATTGCAATCTCCAAGTCTTCTGGAACAATTGTATCTGCAAGGGCTGGATGGCCAGCCTTGGATGCTCTCTGAACAAACTCCTCCGGCGTCCACGGCAAGCCAAACACCGCTCTCAGTGAAAAGTCACTCAAATCTGCTCCTGTTGCACTTTCTGTCTCCCCTGAACTACCCCCTTGAGAGGAGACAGAAGGGGTGTAAAAGCGAAGAAAACGTGAAGCAGGAGGGAGAACTAGAGGTTGCCTCTCCACTGAAGTCAGGGTCACTGCATGGGTGGTCTTCGACAAGAGCGGAACAGGAACATCTGTCAAGCTTGAAATACATGCAACAACAACAGAGCTAAATTCAGGAACCACTTGTGGTAACTTCTTGCGGTGTGGTTGGAGTCCCACCGCAATGCGCGATTGTTGTGTTTGCAACAAAGGGTGAGAATCCAAATCATCTAAGCTCCTAGGAAGAAGAACCAAGCCCTGCTTTTCTGCTTGTTGAAGGATGCATTGAGTCAAAGCCAAACACAGTTTTCTGGGGTACTGACTCTCAAGCGAAGTGGCCCAAACACGCTTTCCTTCAGCATCAGTGGAAAATCGCCAAGTTGCATGACTGTGCGTCTTGTCACATGTAATGTTGAGCTGAGCAATTTGTTCGAAATTTGCCACAATCCTTGTCCATTTGTCACGGTCTCCGCCGTACATGCATACTTGAAAATCGCTGCAAGTCAGGTGCCATTTCTTCCAAACTTCTAAAAAGAAGGAAGTGCGCCAAAACAATGAATTCGTGGGGTTCTCCAAGGTAACCAAGATTCCCATCCGGGAAGCTTTGTCAAGGATCCTACACGCAACTCGAAAAAGGTGGTTTGCGATTTGCACTCTGCGCGTGTCGCTCTCGGACAAACTGGGCAGCCCGTCCGGGTGGTCATTGCTGCGCAGAGGTTTTGGGTCGCTAGGATGAATTCTGATTTCCCGAGCACGGCTTGCTGTACCACAAACTGGTGCTAAATGAATCCACAAAAGCATGTCCGAAGCAAGCCAAGAATCCAGCAGGTTAACATCAACGTCACGTGTCAGGTCCAGCCGAACAATGCTTGCTCTGGCACCTCGCTTCTGGGTCTTGTCAACGGCTATACTGCTATAAAGACCTTGTTGCTTTGCAATTGAAGTCAAAACAGCAGAGCCAGCAAAAACTTCTAGCATCCACACCTGTTCCACACTGACACCTGCCCACTGTCGCGGCAGGCAAGTGGAACGTGATCACTTGCCATGATCCTGCAGCGGATGGTTCTGCTGACACCGTGGCTCTGCGCAAACATGTAAACCCTTCCGGCACTTCTCTCCAGGCTTGACGCCCTTTTCAGGACATCCGGCACTCGTGTTGAATCCAAAGCAAATAGCTTCACCTTGAGGGGTTCGATGCCATTTCCCATGCAAGTCCTTTGGCATTGCTGGAGTGCCTTTGGCTCCCTTTCCGGAGCCCTTCTTGCCTTTGCCTTTGCCCTTGTGACCCTTGTCTCCACTGCTGCTCTGATATGGAGCAGGTCGCCTTGACCATGAATCGCCACCGGATGACTGTGCCCTAGCCACTGGAGCAAGATGCAAAGCAATGTAGGGATCAGAACGAAGTGCTA